GTTGATGACGATGATGGTGTAACTAGTAAGGGTGTTCCTGCCAAGGTGATGTGGTATCTACCGATAATTCCAAGGTTCAAGAGATTATTTACTAATGTTAGTGACACAAAGAATACTAGATGATACCTATCAAAAAATTCTAAGACCTAATCATCTATATTGTAAATTACGGAAGGCTTTTAATGGAGAGCAGGAGTTTGATATCGCTCCAAAGCCCTTAACTAGGAAGTTTAAAGAAAACAATAACAAATTAAGGTTGTCTTTGGAAAGAAACAAAAAAAGTTTGTAGAGAAAAATATTTGGAGAAAGAGGTCGGTATTCTTTTATCTTTCATACTGGTCTAGTATTGATGTAAGACAAAGAATCATCATCATCCGGAAGCTTCGATCATATAAAGGTACATCACAGAAAAAGATATTGAATTTTGTACAAACTACTTGTCAGAAGCTTGCTTTATAGGAATTCCTGAGTCTCGCCGTAATGGATTTTATGATGGTAGAGGTATTCAAGGTTTAAATGTTAATACATTTTTCCGAAAAGTAGTTCTTCAAGCATATTTGCATATATTGAATAACCTTAGTGAAGTTTAACCTTACTTGACCGCTCACAAAAGTCTTTTAAAGAAAAAATTTCCCCAGATGAATGAAAAATGGTTGTTGATAGAGCATAACAAAACTTTCATAAATTGGTTTAATGAAAGTATTTCTAAGGAGAGTAGTGCATTTGGATATTTGCAAATGGTTGTCACATATGCCTAAGTTTAATGTAATTACTTGGAGTGCATATGAAATTTATAAATATTCATTCTACACAAAATCAAAGGATAATTGTAGAACCATGCAAGATAGTGGGGTTATGGTTGAGGCTGAATCCATGTACTTTGCTAATTCCAAAGAACGAACCTATCATAATGGCAACCCAAGCAAAACAAGTTTTTTATGTCACTAATCCTATAACATTAGATGCTCAATTATTCTTTAAGGTGAACATGTTCCCGATAGTACTGATGAAAATAAATTTTTTAACTATGAGATGCCTTGTTTAGCAACACATGTACGCCAAGAATTTGAAGAAAATGATTAAGATGATGTGCATGTTATTCGTCATGATCATGAAGATGGAATATATTTAAACTAGTAAGTAAATGTTTTATATCCCTTAAAATTTTTATAATTAATCATTTTACTCCTTTTTAATCATTATAATATATATTTAAAATTGTTATTGATTGACCTAATTAGTTTCAAATGTTGTTCAAACTATAGGTGCTTAAGGACCAGTGACAAATCCTATTAGACAGCCTACAAAACTTTCCATTTTGGTTATTGTTTTTGTTTCATAATCCTTTTTTTTAATTTTGATGTAAAATTATAAAGTGTGTCATTTTGGGTTTGCATTTGGCTTAATTAATGAATATTTGTGGTACAATGTTTTTGTTTCAGGAATCTGCAAAATATGGTTCTATATTCAGAAATATGGTTCTATAAATAGTTCTATAATACAGGTGCAAACGACAATACAAAAAAATCATCCCATTGGTGTTTACATAAAAATGAGGTAATAACATTTAGATATCATCTCGATTCTACAAAACACCAAGTGTTAATATTGGGTGCGCCATCCAGTTTTGAAAATACAATGTCCTCTTTAAACTATATCTTCATGGTTGTCCTCTTTTGATATTTTCTTCTTCTTTTTCTTCATTACATTATATTACAGAATGTTCATTTTACATACAAAGAATAAGATGATAAAAGAATTTACATAAAAAAATAGAGAGAAAGACACTACACGCAAATCATATTTAAAATTCTAAAAAAAATTAAGGCCATAATCATTTATCACAAGAAAATGATAATAATAAACATATTTTATTATTATTATTATTATTATTATTATTAAATTGAATTGATTAAATAAATTAAATAAAATTTCACAATTAATCATATGATACTAAGTTTGTCGGAGATTCTACTGCCCACTTATAAACATATATCAATTATTTAAATAAATAATAATATACTATTATTATATTAGTTAAAAGGTAAAATAAAAAATATATATTATTCCTTAAAGTAACCATTATACTTTCATTCCGAATCAGTTAACACTAAGCATTATATTTTTCGTCACTTTCATTCCGGATCGATAAGCAACAATACAATTTTTTTAAGATCATAAATATGGGTGACATATCATCGTTCTGTTACAGATATCAAAACTATTTTGTGAGAAATTGACGGATATTTGAAAAATTTGATCCTCCTTTAATTTTGCAGTGTTCTGCATGAGAGCTTTTTTTTACTATTTATTTATTATTAAAGTTGAATTAAAAATTATACTACGTCCGTCCTTAAATATAAAATTCTGTTAAAAAATTATAGAAATTAAAAAAATTGGTTAGAGTATTAAATTTATTAACTATTTTGTATAATTTTACAAATTTATATTTAAGAGAGAGAAATAGTTAATGTATACCTAATTGTATTTATTACAAATTGCAAAAAATATATATATAGTTAGGGGTTTGTTTGAAAAAGAATAATTAGTACACTTTAAAAATTGAAAAGAATCTTATAAAAAAGGACAAGAAAAAAATTAGACAGAGTCTTATAACTAAAGACAAAGGTAATATGTAATTAAATCTAAAGTATATTGTGGTATTTAATGGATTTCATTTTAAAATATTTAATTAGTTATATGAATATTTAAAAAAAATATAGATAAGATGTTTAAATAATTGAAAAGTGTCTAATAATATAAAAAGTTAAACAAGATCTATTTTAAAAACTCAAATAAATATAATGAATGTGAATGCTTTAAACAAGTAATATTAAATCGGTGTGATGCTGAAACTAAGTAATATCAAATCGGTGTGATGCTGAAAGACATGTTTAGAGTATATATAGTTTTGAACACATATCTTTTTATTATATTATAATAAATATATCGCATTGAAGAAAATATAAGAATTTTTATAAAAATATAAAACAAATATATTCAATCTACATGATTCATAAATTATTAACAAAATAACATTTTCACATATTTTTTAAATATATTTAATCAATTTATAAGTGACAACCATTTTTTCCATAAATGCATTTATGCAATTATTATTTTAATTTTATATTATTAACATACATTTTTTAAATAACATATTTTTTTTCGTATTCAAATCAATAACTTATTTTTTTTCCGTGTAATTTCATATATTTGTATCAATTACACAAATAATTTTCTAAATTTCAGTCGTATATAAAGCTGAGGATATCACCCGAGGTCCATTGAAAAGTCAATTTATAAGAGACATATATTAATTTTATTTATTTATTTTAAAAATTTCTTTAAATTTCTAAACGGATTATTAGTTTATTTTGAAACCCCAACATTTTAATTTGCACCCTACTCAATCTTTATAATATGCTATTAATATTGTTTATATGATTCTAAATGTACTTTTGTTTTGGGTTTTGATAAAAAAAAATTTCTTTGGTTCTCTTACACTATTTTAAGGATCGACAAATTTGAACCGATCGATTGAAACTGACCGATCTATTGTTTTTTTGTGTAAATGGATCGGATCAGATTGATTCGATTGTTTAATTTAAATAGTATAGAATTATTTCGGCCAAACTCAAATATTTATTTTGGATTCGACAAAAATCGAAACCGACTGAATTTAATTAATATATATTTAATGATGACATTGTATACTCTCAAAAATATAAGACATGCAATATAAATTTTTGAGTATTATTTAGTTTATGGTTAAAGTATGATAATGATTAAAACTAGTGTCAAATTATATTGAAAATATTATCCATAATAATAATTTTTCTTTTAATAATAAAAAAATAGTTATATTTTAAAAATTTGATATTTTTTATAAAAATTTATAAAAAAAATTATTTTTATAGATTTGTTCTAATAAATATTAAATTGACTCGACTTAATCATCAAACCGACTTAATCGAATTTGACAAAAATTAAAATTGTATCAATCGAAATTGGACCATAAAAATAAAATTGTTAAATTTAAATTTTGAATCCGAAATTGAAAGAATATCCAACTCTACACTACTTTACTATTAATATTTATATTATAATTAATAAAATTTATTTTGCTTTAAAATTCTCAAAAGTAAGAGAGGGCATTGAATCCACTACTGCTCTAATATACCGAGGAAAAAGCACCATATCTTTTCCTCCCTATTTAGAATAGTAGTTGAGTTTATGTCAAATGCTTATATACTTATATAATATATAATTTTATAATTAAGTATAATATTTAATTTGACTATATATATTTGATTTAAATGCATCGCATATTTTCCTATTTTACCGGAAATGATTAGTCCAAATTGAAATGCATTGCATATTTTCCTATTACCATACCATGCAAGACTAGTACATTTTCCAAATTTCATTTATTTTAGTAGTTTTGGTTTAAATCCAAATTGAATTTTAGTTTAAAAAATAGTTAATTGACAATTAAAATTATGAAAGATATAATAATTTTTTTTGCATTAATTATAGTTATTAATTATGTTTAACATCGGCCCAATAAAACATTTTTTAAAATGAGTCCTTTAAAAATACATTTAAAAATAATTTTTGTAAACTCAATTAACTATAAAAACATCAGATTGAAAAATGTACAACATCATATTGCAGGTATGATGCACCCCATATTTTGATACTGATTCTAACATCCTTCTCTCTTTAATCATTATCATGGTCATTGTAGAAAATTGCTTAAGAAAATAAGCAAATTCACACAAAAACAAAGGATAGTGAGATTTGGAAACCCTTTGAAAAGTTTTTCATCCTACACACCAATTAACTGTAAGCATATATAAATACAACATCAACCAAAGCAGAACAAAGCTCACACTCACAACACTCCAACACTTACAATACAAACACACTGCAAATACCTACACCCCCTTTTCTCCATTTTGCACATACAATAAAATTTCCCTAAATCTTCGGGTCGCTTACGATTCTCTACTGCTACCACTGTTACCTTCACCGGCACGATTTTGCTCGCCAACCCTGGCTGCCAAGGCCAACACTTCTGGCGACATTTCCCAGCTTCCACTTTTTCTTCCCCAGCTAGATCGCCGAGGATGAACTCCAACACGGTCGACCGTTTCATCTACTGTCGTTCTAATTTCAGAAGACAACTCACCGTCCTTTACATTCACACGATCATTGTTTGATTGAGCATCTGAATCATCCATCTCCCATACAGCTTTCCTTCCCATCTCTATGTCGTCCCCGGATTTTCCCAAACTTTGGTTCATATATCCTCCACCCACTGATCGAGCAGGTAATGCTGGTTCGTTTGGCACTGTTGCCCTGAAATTATTCTTCGAGGGGGTTATGCTGATGCAGAATATCTCTTTGAAATTATTCAACACTCCTTTGTTATACGGGTTTGCACGGCGATCATATCGGTATCGGAAGTTCTCATAAGTAGTCTGCCATATCGATGAACATAAATGAATCATTTAATTTTTGTCAAAATTAGTGAGTCGAATATATCTCTCATTATATTTAAAGCTTGTGGATTAAAAAGAATAAAATCTTACCTGGTTTGTACTTATGAGATATAAATGGAATGCGGTAAGGCCACCGACAAACCACATTGATATGAAGGTGTAAATTATTAAAACTATGGAGGCTGGAGTTTTGATCATTGCCTTCCAAATTGTTGTTTCCTCTGACGCCATAATTCTTCTAATATAGATCCAGCTAAATGCAAAAACGTACACACAAAGTAGCGTAGTTGAGAAGACAAACATGAAGAAGAAGCGATAATTACGCTGCATAAAAATTGTTCAAGCATTAACATACATATCAAATATTCAAGAATGACTTAAACTGAAAAGTAATCAGAAGAAACAATTAAAAGACCCAACTTACCAGCCCAATACACTGACCGACCCAGGGACAGTGATGATCGAACCGTTCTACACAGTTATTACAGATTGAGCAGTGCGAGCATCGAGGAGGTCTATAAAGCATGCAAGTATCACAATACTTGACCTTAACAACAACGCCATTGACCTCAACCTCCTTAATCCGTGGCAACCTCAATTGAGGAGTTTGACCAGCACCAAGATCTGCATTACTATCGAAACCTTCCGGTTCTGGAGGATGTAAATTGCGTGGTATTATGCCAGGATCTCGACCAGATGTTAACAAAAGAAGAACCAAGTCCTGAAAATATGGTAGCATCAGCATTCGTTTGAAAAGAATATCTTGTAGTGTGCATAGTAATGGAAAATGGTGAATTAATGCCCCCACCCTTTTGGTGACAAAATCCGTGACAAAATCATTGCCGATGATTAGATAATAAAAATGGGCAAACTGGTGCTATAAAGCACTAGCATAGACAGAGTCTAGGGAAGGGTCAAATCCATTGCAGATCTGTTGTAAGCAGCCTTACCTTGCATTGGCAAGAGGCTGATTCCAAAACTTGGACCTACGACATCCTAAACACAGGTCACGCGGCAGAACTTCATCATATTATCCATTTTGGCAACTAGTAAGCCTAACACCAAAATAAAGAAATAACATAAAACACCAAAACTAACCTTTCAAAATAAATTCCTAACATGTAAATAACATAACTCAGTTGTAGCATTACATGCTACATTGCATTATAAAGTAAAAATCATCCAAGTCAGTGTCATTATTAATCCAATTTCACCCTCTAAACCCTGTAGCTATAATTTGCCAAAATTTTGAGTTTAAGTATAATATAACCATGTAGAGTTGCAGAAAGAAGGATTATGCTATTACTAATAACAATCCAGTTGAAAAATCCTTGACCAGACTTTACTTACCTCTCGGCCAAACTCCGAATTACCACGGTTACCTTACCACATTCCTAGCACTGGTGCTGCTGCTGGTGATAGCAGCAGAACCTTGAGGAGGAGCAAAACCACATATGCTGATCACAACAGAGACGTGGAAGAATCAAGATTGGATGAGCCAAGAAAGTAAACAAGAACAAAACAACCAAAGATGAGGTAAAGAAAATAGAATCCTGTCAGCTGATGGTAAGGAATGATAAGAAGACAAATAGACCTTTCAAAGGAATTTGCAAGGGAATTTTTCAAGATTACAAAGGGACAGTAGAGACTGACAAATTATCTGGTGTGAAACACAAAAACACCACGGGAAGTGTGGATCTCAAGGGAGGAGTGAAGGAGGATCAAAATGTGGAAAAACCCACAACAGTTTTGGCAGGTTGAGTTTTGCGGAGTCCTAATTACTCGTTATTGCCACCAGAGCAGCCAAACGCAAGGTTGTTCTTGGTAACAGAATGGCCTTTACCAAAAATGGAGCTATGGATCTTGAACGTAGCATCTGAGTGTCCTCTGCCGGAGCCACCAGACAGTGGCACGGCACTCAAACGTTAGACGTGGCACGGCACTCGAACTTAGCACTCTGCCTTTAGAAGTAGAAAAGAAACATTGAAAATTCAAAACAGTTTTTAAATTAAGATCCTTCATATAGATTGCAGTACTCAATGTTCTATTTCACTGAGAAGTTAACATATTAGCAATAGCTCACTACTAATCTATCATCTGTTATGTGAGATTTAATAATGTAACGCAATGCTTCTCGTTATTCTAATCATATTGGATTACAATGCAGTTAAACAGCCTACAAGAAAAAAAATCTTCTTGTAGCATATGAAAGTAATAAGAGACTCACATAAATTGTGAAAACGATGGCAACAGCCATTATGGAAATCCCCCAGCGATCAGAAAAATCATTCAATAGTTTTCTGGCAACAAAGACACAGAAAACAGCGACAGGAGCAACAATAAGGAAAATTGTCAGCGCCAACGATCTCACATCTGGTCCAAATATAAACCTCCCCTGAAGAAAAAATTTCTGCAAGAAAAGGATGGAAGCAACAAATAAGAATCTCCATATTTATGATGGATCAAAACATATCTGAGATGGCAGATGAAGATATAAATATAACAGCGGTAAACAAGAGTTTCTTTTAATACTGAAGATTCTCTACAGTTTGTGAAACTGTAGAGAATTTTGACCCTTTCCTATCATTTCCAAACTCCAAAGCAAGTACAGCTTTCAAACTGGTTCAGTAACAGATAAAAGCGACAGAACATAACAGAAAAAGCACCTTCAAATATATGTATCATAATAAACGTATGTCGGGTTCTACAGTGAAAATTTTTTATTTTGAGTGAATTGATTGTGATTAAAAGTGAGTTGAACGTAAAGTGATTTACGTTTGGATAATTTTATGCAAAATTGAGTTGAACAGTCAATTTTAATGTAAAAATCACATTTAGACTCAAAAGCTACAGATTCTAGCTTAAGTAGAATCAATTGTGGAGACCGAATCAATTCTACTCTAGAAGAACTAAACACCTCAAAATCATTCCAAAATCAATTCTACACCTCTAGAATAGCTTTTAGCTCTTCCAGAAGCTAAACCAAACTTACACTAAATCAAAATCTTGGCTAAGAAAATCCATCCATTTTCTTTGGAAACAATATTTCACTTACTCAGTTCATTGCAAAATGGTAACACCCCTAACATATGAACACAAAACCAGTATATATTAAGAATACTCTATCTCTCTCTCTCTCACACACACATACACTTCAATTAAACAAAAGAAAAGCTACTTAAAATCCAGAAGCAAAACAAACACTAGCAAAAAAGGGGAATTTTCTGAGAGCAGAATTGAGATAAACCAATAACAAATTCTATAAGCAATTAAAAAAGTAAAAGGGTGAAACAAAACAAAAAACGAAATCCAGAATGAGAACTAACATTGCTTCCTTTCCAGGCTTGGTAAACCCTCAACCCATCGGATCCTGAACCCGGATCGGAGCGTTGAGGTGGAGGCACCACGTACATACCGCTCAGACTTCAAAACCCCTCGGTGATTTCAGAGATTCAGCACCGAAAAAGTAAGAAAAAAAGGCGAAAGCTTGAAGTGTCACTAAGGCTGAGAATTGAGAACCATGGGTGAATTGGAGGACCCTTTTGAGGAAAGTATCCGGCGAAGTTGATGGGTCGCGCCGGTAGGGCGACAACACATGAGGGGTTGGTCGGGACAGAACAGAAGGGGAGGTGTAGTAGTAATAATGTAGTAATGTGGCTATGGAGAGTTTTCTTTTTCTTTTTCTCTTTCTGTGGTGAGTGGAGAGCTGGTTTTGTTTGTGTGGAAAAGGCAAATTGCAAGGGATTTGTTTCAACAAGTTGCTTTTTTCTTTCTTTTGTATTTTCTCATTTTAATTATCATATTATAGCATGTTATAGTATATAGGTATATAGTATCTATTTCAATGGTATTTTCCAGCTAGATTAAAGGATATGTTGAGAAAAACATAAAAGAATAACTTCGAAGTGAGAGAGAAAATTAACTTAAAAGAAGATAGCTACAAAAATGAAAAATTGCATTTTGTGTAGATTTATTTATAACATGATAATCAATCAAATTAACATCGATATTAACCAAATAAATAGTTTGTCAGTGCGAAGAGTAAACGCAAGCATGTCTTTTTATGGCTTTCGCTTAGGGTTTGTGTCACCCGTACAAGGCATTTAATCAATGTCTTGCATGACTAATAGTTTCTCTAGCCAATATTAGACTAAAGAGTTAGGTATTCGAATCGACTAAGGGGAACCAACAGCGTTGGCTTCTTCGACAAATATATGGACAACCAAATGCATTTTCTTATAACTAATAGCACATTACAATCGCTCAAAAATAAATGGACGATGGTAGTTATGAAATGATGAACATAGTAACGCATTAAATTGTCATCATGTTCAATCTAGTAATTAAAAACTACCGACACATATGAAGCCTTAACAAGACAAACAAGGTGAATCACACTCGTCTTAGGTACTCTTAGCAATGGTAATGACAATAGGATTCATCAAAAAATTCCAGGTACACCATGTGCTCGAGTGAGCCATATAAATCCTCGAAATGTGGCTTTGGTTAATAGAAACTAAAATGTCAGTGATGTCATACAACAAGTAAGGAAAAATGTAGGGAGACAACATGTAGAAAAATGTGATTGAACTAGTGTTAAACATGCATAGATTCAATGTAAGCTATGCGAATAGACCTTATATTATTTTTGTATTTTCGATGTAGTTTTGCAAACTAAGATTCTCCTAGGGATTAAAATCCTCAAATTTACCAAGATTTCTAGTGAAATGGAAGAATCCACATTAAAATATGAGGCAAGATACCAAATCAAATGCATCAATCTAGCCTATAACGAATATTTAAAAAAGAAATATTTCTCAAATTCATTAATCAAATATACGTGCATTTGCTTTACCATCTTACCTCCTAATTCGATTCTTAATTAGGGTCACTTGAAAATAATTTCTCATGAAAAATTCTTTATGGGCGATATTAAGGTCAATATATAGATCTAGCGAATATTCAAAGAAAAACTAATGAATCTCTGAATCTCTTTATGGCTATATTAGTATATCTCAACAAATGAAGGTGTCGTCTCACTAGTATTCTTTAATATGTGTTAGTTCAAATGGTTGTCGCATGCCCAAATTATGTCACGTGAAAGAAAATGTTAAGTTAATATCTACGAGATGTGTCTCAATTGATTAACAATGTAGACAAATAAAAAAAACTAAATCTTAAGTGTGATTTTATGTTGTGTTTCAATCTTTTTATAATCTTAATATTGGTCAACTCTTTTAATTTCATTAGAATTTTTTGTTTTTAAGTATCTCTTATTTTTAGAGATGGAAATATTTGTGTTAATAAACTTTATGTGGTATAATTTGTACTAGTAATAGTTTTGTTTGGTAGGATTCTTACCTAATTGCATCATGGTTTTATTAAAAACATATGTTGTTCAAACTTTCTATTTCATTTTGATTTTCTTTTAAAAATTACTCTTTTATTTTCATCTAATTTTATTCAACTAAGTTTTTTTTTTAAAGTTTATAATTGATCAACTCTTTGTAATATGTGTTCTCTTTGAGTTTTCACTTAACTTTAAAAATAAAATTTAATAATACATTATTAATGATAAATTTTAATATTAAAAATAAAGAGAGAAAGAACGAAATATTTCTTGACACCAGATATCAAACTTAATAAACATATACATTTCAATAACATTTAATTTATATAAGAAAAATTAAATCAATTCGATCGTTGCATTAAAATATATTTAAGTTGATCAAATCAATAAAATTTTATAAAATTTAAAAATTATTTGATATTTTAGCCGCTCAACGTATATGTAAATATCAACTGCTAAAATATATATCAACAAGTTACGCTAATTCAACTTAGTTGATAGTTGTAGAGCCAACTCGTTGCATAAATGTGGGTTCTAATTTACTGACACTTCATTTATTCATCTTTTAAGTAGTGAGATTTTGGAATTTAAAGGTGTCAAACTTAGTACTATTTCGGACCACTCATAGGCTTAAAAGTCAGAGAGTCTTAATCATATGAGAGTCCAATCCAAGACGCATCCATTGGATTTCTAAAGATAAATTGTGCCATTGACTAAGAAGCGAACACTCAATATTTACCGTATGATGATCACTTGTTGTTAGATTTAATCAAATGGTCCCCCATGTCTCATGTTAGGGAATATGGGGAAATTCTAACTGCCCCCATATATAAAGATTATCATGCACTAATCACAAGTATCTTCTCTCCATAACTCACATCACCATTTTTTTCACATTTCATTGATTTGGGCATTGGAGTTCTAACCTTACGGGTTTTTCTTTCTTTGCCATACGGGAGAGCGCTCGTCATTGCTCCAGTCAACTTCACATCTTCATATCCATCATTTTTTATTCATGTATGAAGCAATGATGTCGTACCTTGGTTTGTTCACAGACTTATCATCCAATATTAGAGGAAGTGGCATCGACCTCATATTGGAAAACAAATTTTGTCTGGTAATTGAGGTATCCCTTACGCTTTGAGTTATCCACTTTCAATAACCAGGTTGAGTATAAAGCCTTCATCGTCGGGCTCACAATGACAATAGAGATGGGAATGGAGAACGTTAAGTTGTGAAAGAACTCACAGTTAGTGGTATCCCAGGTCAAAACAGAAGTGCATACCAAAGATCTAATGTTGCAATGGTATGTCAACATAACAAGGGAAACATTAGCAAAGTTTAAATCACATAAAATCCTCCACCTCCCCGTGGAGCAAAACACCAAGGAGGATGTCCTATTTAAGCTTGCGAGCACCAGAACCTTGTGCATGAACTATTCTTTTATACAAGAAACTCTAGGGAGTCCAAGCATCGAATCTTTCGAGGTGGCAATGACAATTATAGAAGGTTCCACCCAATTCTTTTGGATATCACCCATTACAGTGTATATTAAACACGGTGTATTGCCTGAAAATATGACCAAACCTACTCTTGTGAAGAGAAGAGCAAGTCTGTACTCTGTGTTAGGAGAAATCTTATAATGAAGATGCTTGTCAACCCCCTGAAATGGCTCAAGGGAGAAAAGGGATTCTTACCTAATTGTATTAGGGATTTGGCTAGGAAACTCCTCAGGGTGGGGTATATTTTCCCATCAATGGTTCAAGATGTTATAGACTACTTGAAGAAATGTGAATGGTGTCAGAAGTATAGGGATGCCCATAACGCTCTCCCATCTAAGTTAAATATGTTGACATCTCCCTGACCTTTCTCATGATAGGGTATGCATGCATGGAATCTCTCAATCTGTTGTCTCTGGTAATGGGACACAATTTACCAATAAGAATTTGAGGAAAATATTTGAAGATCTAAAGATTAAGCATCATTTCACATCAGTAAAGTACCTTTAGATAAATGGATAATCAGAGGCCTCCAAACAGGTCCTGTTAAGGGGACTGAAGAGGAGACTTAAACTAGCCAAAGGAAATTGGCACATGAGCTCCTACATGTATTTGGGCATATAGGACTAGAACTCATCTCATGATGGGTGAAACTCCTTTCAAACTTACTTACGAGACTAAAGTCATCACTCCAATTAAGATTGAGAACTAAGTTGGAGGGCAATACACCCCTTGTTAAAGGAAAATAACTCGCATGCCATCAAGGAAGAAAAGGACCTCGTATAAGAAAAAAGAGCCTATACAGCTCTCATGAGTGCCATTGTAAAACAAGTAACCACAACCAAATACAACAAGCGGGTCAAACCTCGAAGCTTCTAGCTTGACGACCTCGTGTTAAGATAGTACGATGTTAAGGGAAAGAATGTTGGACATGGTAAGCTCACTGACATTTAAGGAGGACCTTACAATATCAAAACAAGCACAAAAAATAGAGCTTATATTACATAAACCATATTTGGGGATCACATCCCAAGAATATGGAACTCTACAAAGCTAAACTGATATTTTAACCAAGCCTTTCCCCCTAAATTATATGAATGCAGATCAGGGAAGGCTCTATAATGTAATGAAGTTGAATCAAGTAATGTATTAAGTAATGTCGTCATTTCTGGACTAATTTTACGACTATCATCAATTTACGATCATATACTGATTTCCTCTGCTTCCTTTCTGATAGGGTAGTACTCCAAAAGGATAGCGGTCTTCCTTTTTGCATTAAAATAACCCATAATCCAGTTCTGCAAGCATTAGTTTCAACCACAAAAGGGTTTGAAAATTTAGGTACTGGTAATGTAGGCAAATTGGTCATGGCTTACTTAAGTTGCTTGAGTGTATTTTGCGCTTCTAGATTCCATTGGAAGGAATTTTTATTTAACGGGTTGGTCAATGGCCTTTCTATTCTTCCATAATCATGAACTAACCTCCTATAATTGTAGGTAAGTCCTAAGAATCCCCTTAAGATAGTGACATTCATGGATAATTAGGGTGTTTCTCCAATTTTTGGCTCGGGTTCCTCTTCGGAGTTTTCAACGTCATCTTCATATGTTACTAACATTATCCGAAGTTTTTTATTTTTGCATACATGAGAAGTGCTCCATTTTTCTTTACAGAAAAAACATTATCCTTTCTTCCTTTTCTCTTGAAGTTCTGTTTTAGTTAATCATTTAAATCCTATGGGTCGATTATTGTTTTCTGTTTTATTCATGGATACACAAGTTCTATTTTAGTTAATCATTTAAATCCTCTGGGTCTATTACTATTTTCTGTTTTATTCACGGATACACTACCATCAAAAGAATTAGAAGGACCATTACTTTTTCCTCCATCTTTCTGACTAACATCATAAGTAACAATTTTTGAAGCGGATGGATTTCAGTACGAGGTGTTGGGTTTTGAGGTGTTGTTTTTCCGCTCAATCATTAATGTCTTTTTAACCATGATTAGAAAAGTGGGTGGTTCATAGAGTTTAACTTCCACCCCATTGTTTTTCTTCAACCCGTCAAAAAAATGTCCTTTAAATGTTCTTCATCAACATTTTTCAACATACCTCAAATTTTAAGAAATTGCTCAACTTACTCTTCTATTGTTTCTTCAGGTTTAAGTGCAAGGAGGGTAGCAAAAGGGTTGATAGTGGATTAAGTTTGGTACCTTTCAAGAATGACAAGTTTGAAATCTTCTCATCCAATATTAAAACTGCAAGTGTCCCACCATTGGAACCAAGATAGCGTTTTTCCATCTAATGCCACCATAACTGCCTGAATTTTCTCTTCTTCTAGGATATCACTCATTTGAAAGAAGTGTTCCAATTTATTTATCCAACTATAAGCATCCGATTCTCCATCATATATGGGAATTGTCAGTTTTCTTCATCGTTCTATTTTTCCTTCTTCGTTGTGGACTTTGGTTGTCTCTTTTTTCGTTGATGGAACCTTTGGGAGTGCCATCTTCAGAATGCTTTGATAAATTTTCCACCATGGCTTCTAGGCACGCAAAGTGTGTTTCAAGTTGTTGCCGTTCTACATCTTGGTTTTTCCAGTCTGCCATCAACATTTCTAAAATTCTCTCCATTGTGTCAATTTGTCACCATAGTTGGAAGCAAAGCATTGACAGTGCTTTGATACCAATTGATAAGAACAAAGAAAATGGAATAGAAATGAAAAGATGAAACAAATTTTTTTATAGATAATCTTTGGAATATATTACAACACAAGATTTCGAGAGTCTGCCTCTCCACAATTTAGATTCTTCCTGATTTCCCTCTAATGATTTTTTTAATTTGGTTTGCTTCTATTTATATTGGATCTAACACCCATCTAACAGACACAATTAATCATAATGGTTGTGATTGTCCCCCCATTTGTAATTATTCTAGATTTGATGTTGTTTGCCTTCAAGAGATGCACTCTTTCTCCAACGGTTGCATTCTTTAGGGTCGCACTTCATGACCCCAATGGGTGCGTCTCTACATTAAAGGTCATAACCCCTTAATTCACATCTTTTGACCCGACATCCCTTGGGTGGGCCGTGACCGTTAGGTTGTTTACACCTACTGGATGTTGTGCGTCTTGTTGCTAATAGTCGAAGACTGTTCCTCCCCTTCTCGATGCTTGGAGTGTAAACCCTAATGATCGGTGGCTTATGCAGTTATGCTTATGTTGTCGTTTAGTTATGAAATGATCAATTAGCTAGTGGAAGGTAAACTATAAATATAGTAAACTATAATAAATTACTCTTTTAGATTATGAGCACCAAAATTGCTTTTATTAAGTTGTCAATAATTTGATTTTCATCCTTAACAACTATAAGGTTGTCTTGATAACCAAAGCATTGTTAAAAGACTAATTTGATTTTTTTTTATTATTTAAAACCGTTAAATATTATTATTGTTTGCATTGTTATTAGGGTGAGAATCAAATCATTGACATCACATTTTTTTATTACTTACTTTTTTTGAACACATACCATAAACATGTGGTTAAGCTAAAATACACCTGTCACAGTCCAAATTTGTAGACCTCTTTCTGCTACATAACAATGAATAGGAGAAAACAAATTCCAATAAAAAAAAACTCCTCATTTTAAAGTTCATTTTCTTGTAAAATCCACTATGGTCTCTATGTAATTGAACAAAACTTCAGCTGGACTTCAATTGAGCTTAAATGTCATCAATTTGCTATCTCATTAAAATGAAAGGAGTGATTTGTAAGTATTGTTTTAAGAAATCGGATATCTTCTGCATGTAAGTGTAGAGACTAATCCCTCAAATTAGAGAGGACTACAATAAACGATAAAGCTTTCTCTCACGTGAATTTACCACTCATGCGTGTCAAATACTGAGTTTGAGCATAAAAATATTGATAAAATCAAATTTTAACTAACCAACCATAAATACTAGAAAACCTCTTGTTAAAACATGTAAAGTTGAACCTCATGTTCACAAGTTCCTAAACAACACTTCTAAAAAAAATAGCTAGCCAACCTATTTTATTTAGCTACAATTAAATCTTGAAGTTTCTTCGCATTTTCTCATACCTTTGTTGACACTAGCTGCAATCTAATCTGCAACAAAGAAATTCCTCATTATCTTCCCTGCAATTTTTATGTTAAACCTACAAGAGAATAAAAAGTTTTTGTTAACTTCTTATTTCCTCAGGACTATTTTCATAACTTTGTTTTCTCTTTTCTCTCCATGTCTCCCCCCACTGTTTCGCCTCTGCAACAGCTTGCTCTCTTAGCGAGTCTTTAGGCAAAATCGGCAAAGCCATCGTTGATTCTTTCGGAGAGTCTTCGATCTCCATGCTTCCCGTGTTAATTGTTCCGGATGCTTTTGGAACATATTGCTTGGCTGACAAGTAATCTAGGGCTAATACTATATCGCCTGCACCAGGCCGGTGACGCGGCTCTTCTCGTAGACACATGCACGCCATTTCAACGGCCATCCTTAGACCAGATGTAGGGAAGTGACCTTGCAAATGTGGATCGGCTAGTTTTGGATAATTACTTCTCTCTCTGAACAACGGGCGCGCCTGTGTAGGTAGAGTAAGAAATCGAGTTTCGTTAACTATAACATATTTGTAAGATTCAATAACTCATGAATTATATGCATAATCATAGATTAAGTAGAAAGATAATGTGATATATGTCATTACCCAATCGACAAGATGCTTGTCGTGGCTGCGATTATCATCATACGCTCTACGTCCCGTTATTAGCTCCAATAACACGACTCCGAAACTATAGATGTCAGATCTCATTGTTAATTTTCCAGTAGTTGCATACTCAGGTGCACAATAACCATGTGTTCCCATGACTCTAGTGGCGACATACGAATGGTCTCCTGTCGGACCGAATTTCGCAAGCCCGAAATCAGAAAGCTTTGGATTGAATCTTTCATCCAAAAGTATGTTGGATGATTTCAAATCTCTGTATATAACAGAAGGCTTTGCTTCATGGTGGAGATAATTTAGTCCTCTTGCCGCGCCAGCAGCTATCATCATTCTGGTATTCCAATCGAGCGGTTCTTCACCAGGGCAAAGATCTGCGTGCGACCATAACAAAATAGTAACGACTACAACTTCGAACTTAAATGTAAATAAACAAAAAAAAAACATGTATTTGGTCGAAATTACGAATTAGTAACTTTGATGTAGAAAAAGTTAAAAGTTACATTGCATTACCATGGAGATGAGATTCTAAGGATCCCAAAGGCATGTACTCATACACAAGAAGCCGTTGGTCGCCTTCAGCGCAATAACCGATCATGCTAACAAGGTTAGGATGGTGTAGAAGAGAGAGCATGAGAACCTCTACTAAAAATTCTTTCTCCCCTTGGAGACCAGTTGTATCAAGTCTTTTAACAGCTACCATCTGATCATTTACATCACATAGTGGATTTATGAGTATTTGTAAATAAGAAATAGGTACGAAAAAATCGTTCATTCTTTGAACTATAGTACCTGCTTAGTTTTATCTAGCTTTCCTTTGTAAACAGTTCCAAATCCACCTTGTCCAATAAAGGTTTCATCCCTAAAATTTTTTGTTGCCGTCGCAAGCTCCCTGAAGGTAAATATCCGCGCCTTATTAGAACTGTCGATCTTCTCTTCCGAAGTAGCTTCTGATCTTTGTTCTGTATCAAACCATCATTGTGTCAACTTCGGTACATAGGTATATAACTTTCAAATTTAATCAAGCTTGTGATCATCTAAGAATGAAACTCTCTAATCAATTTGTACTAAGTAGATACATATGAAATAGCTAGAAGTTATAACATCTAGATATAGCTGCAAGGGTAGAAAATATGCAGAATATTTAATGAGCTATGTTTGAGCTCAAAACAAGCACAGGATGCTCTTCCGCCAAGCTGAATCAGGCTCTGGTACCACTGATATGGAATGAAATTGAGATTCTTCTTAATTTGTTAATCCAAATTAAAAATTATCCTAAGATAACAACAACCAAGACCCTTTTCCCTTTCTCTAATCACCATTTAAGAACTATAAACCCAAGAATTAGCGGAAAAATCATGTCATTTTCCAATAATTCAAACTCAACAAGCCAAGTTGTCTAAAATCTTAGGAGAGAAATATATGATGAAGAAACACATATAAACTTGAATGAATGAAGGATAATGTAACACAATGAATGCGTAAACCCAAAAACCCATCAAATAATTTTAATGATAAAAAGGTAGAAAAATAAACCCTACAAAATTGAAACAAATGTTAATCATGGTAAAACAATCACAAAGAACATAATTAAACATATGATAAAAATGCACCTAAAGATCTTCCAGAAACAGATGCGGTCCCAACAGATTTAAGGTTGTTGACATCATCCTCTTCATCTTCCTGACCATTAAAGTTTTTCCTTTTTTCCTTCTTTCTAGACCCAAAACATGGGCAACGACGCATCACCTCAAATCAGTAGAATTCAGCACAAAAAACAAAACTTTTTCTTCTATTCTTACGAAACAGTGTCACCAATCACGTGAAAAAAGAACAAAAAAACAAAAATGGAAGCTTTAATTCACCAGAAGAATATGATGATGCGTATAAAATCTTCACAAATGTGAAACCTTGAAGACGTTAAAACATCGTTGATGATGTTGAATGCGACATTGCAACATTTGTTACCATAACGTTTATGTTGTTAGAAAGTTGACGAAATTGCAGAAAATGGTGTGATTATTAGTAGAAATAGAAAATTATTCGGATTTGAAAGATAATTCGGAATTAAATGAAATGATGAAATTTTTAGGACGATGATGTGCATGGGCCAATTGTTTCGTGTCGACGTGATTTGTTTCCAAATTTGTCTTTAGAGTTGTTCATATGAATGAATTTAAGGTTGGTGATTTATCATATTTTAGACTTTTTTTTTTTACTTCAAAATGTGTTTATTGTTGATTTATTCTTAAAATAAATAATTTTGTTATAGAAAAAAACAAAGAAAATTAAAACAACATTCTTAGGGATATATAAACATTTTATATAGCTTGATATAAGAAGTTTATATAAAATAAATAATGAGTGATATTTAGCAGCATATCACTATTATTTAAATGATGAAAATGTTATGTGATCTAATATATTATTTTTATAATAACGATTATATGTGCAATTACGTTTTTAATGTACACGTAAAAATTTAAATGATATTTTTTATCTAATATTAATTTTAAATGAAAGTTAAATAAAAAATTAATAGTAAAAAATTAGATAGGAAGTTATGTAGAAAGTTAATGGAAATTATTAAATAAGTTATACATTAAATGTTTTGCCTTTATATATGTTATATATATTTATATTATATATGTTATATATATTTATATTGAGCACAAGACATTGAATGTCTCATCCTTATATAGTTTAATATTATATTCATGGAAATAGCCGTCTCAAACTTTTGAGAGACTGTGTAACAATTTAAAGTTAACTTTATTTGGGGTGTAAATTATTTTTAAGAGGCCCTTTTTAACCATGAATAATGTGTATGGAGGCTCTTTTTATCATAGTTTAATTATGAAAAAATGTGAGGCCCTATGTTGTAGGTCGTTTTGCACGCTCTCAAAGGCGGTCGTGTTCATGGATCCTAGGGTATACTTTATAACAAGAAATAAATTCAATATCTCATATTAATTTATTTGAGCACGACCATGCATTTATTACTCTTACTCGATAAAGAGGCTCATATATATTACTCTTGTATATGTAGGAGCGACAAATCTCATCTAGATCTCTCATGTCTCTCATCATGATTTGTAAAGTACGCATCAACCATTTTTATGATCATCCTATTGTGGACAATGTTTGATTGACAATGAAATACTCAAATCTACATCTAGGGTCCATAGTGATTTCGGGTCGAAAGGGGGTATACATCATTATCATTGTGAAAATAATTTATGACACTTACATAATAAAATATATATAATATTTTTATGATGGGTCAATCCAGTATAAATATTACTTCTAATATTTATACATATATGGGAACTTGATACCGCATATCCATGATCCATGAGATATGGTCATTAGTCTGCTTACATAATAATCTTTATGCATCACTATTGTCCCATGTGAAAGTAAAGCTTAGCTACAGATACTTTAAGAATAATGTTTTAATGTTTAATGAGGTATCACAATTAAGTCACACTAGAACCAATCAGATATTAGCTTAATATCTATATGTCCATTGTGTGCATCAAACATCACCTAAGCATGATACTTTATTATGGCATAAGGAACTATTTCTCATCTTTGTACTATACACCTCTTTCAATTTCAATTTTCAATCTTCTATCAAAAAGAAATTGAAGTGCCAAAATATGCATATATGGATTGCTAGCGATATCTAGTTTTCTGTACTTGTAAGATTACCCCATTATCATCGTGAATGAGATCAATCAGATCTTCAATATAATAAATGCAAATTTCTTCTCAAGAATGAGCAAAGCGGTCAAAATCATATATTAGACCTTTGTACTAGAAACAAAAAGTTGTCTGAAACCTTTTATAACTTACATAGTTATCAACTAAGCATAACATTTATTTTATACTATGATATTAATATATTGTTCATTGATTTATGAAAAACATCATTGTAACTCATTTACAATGATTATTCTTGCATGCTTATAACATATAGTGCATCTAGTGTAGTATAGATAATGACGTACATGATTGATCTAAAAACCAAAGCATATAGATGTTTTTCATGTGTCCTTTTTCTCATCCATTGAGGTAAGGTATTGTCCATCAAACAAAACATCATGCGACGCATGTTAGAATGAGTTTGGTTCTACAACTATCCTTAAGTTTTGATGATAACAAAGTGTAAGAGAACAATTTTGTGCTCTAATTGTTTACCTGAGTGTGCAGAAAAATTGAAATAGATTCTGACTTTGAAGATGTCTAGACTCTGAACCAAAGAATATAAGCATTTAAGCAAGTTAACTCATATCTATCAAGTCAATGTTCTGAACAGAAGATATCCAGATGACTCTGATATAAAACTCTGACTATCTGCTTGTGAAAGTCTTAGAATCCAGTTGTCCAAAGACTATATTTGTTTTACCAAGTTCTAATGATAGACTTTGGAAATGATACTCAAGCTTCAACAACGAATATCATAGTCCTCTTATTTAAAGTTATCCAAAAGTCAACAAAGATTTGATGTGACACAAGTACAAAAGCAAATTTACTTTTTTCATAAAGTATTGTACTTTGTGTTAAAAGAAGTCTTTCGCGTCCCATAATCTTCACCAACTACAGACTACAACGTCACTATAATATTTTGTTTGAAGTAATCTTCATACAATAAATACTTAGAGGGTATTTCATCTTCACCTCTAGAGGATCTATTTTGTTTCTATTTAAAGAGGACTTTGAAGATTAAAGAAATATACAAGTTAAGTGCACTGGAAGTTGATTAACGCTCACACTCGGGAAACATATATAAAAAATAAGAAGTGTTGCTTACACTTATACACTTATAACAAAATCGAATATTCTTGTTAAGTGTAATACTTGATTGTAAACTTATGTATATGCTTATGTGAAGCATCTTATAAACACAAAAATTGTTATTACAATTTTGATTGTAATCCTTAACCGACCAGGTTAGGTTAGGCTCTTGAGAAGTCAATACCAAGTTGTTATTGAGGTTGAAATCTTCTTAAGCAACAAGGTAAGTCAGGGTCTTAAGAAGTTAATGACCATCAATTTTCTTAGGAGACTCGTTGGGTTAGAATCACGAAGAAGTTCGTGACAGGTTGTCACTGCATTTGTAATCACGTTTATTGGATTAAGTATTTGTCTAAGGCAAATCACCCAGGTGGGTGGACTGGAGGTAGCCCTGTTAATATAAAACCAAGATAAAAATCCTAGCATTCTTTATCATTCTATTTATTGCTTTAAGTTGTTGTTTTGAGTTGCGAAAAATTATCATTCTTGAAAGCTGATCTTACCGGATCGGAAAAGGATCAACATCCAACAACACGCCGTAAGCTCCTGTATTCACTGCTAGTGGAGAAGAGGATGGGGTGTACCTGCAAGGTACTCCGATGCCAAAGTAAGAGACGGAGTAACAAGAGCCAGTAAAGAAAAGGTGTAAAGAATAGAATTGAATACCTGGTCCTCTAGTGAAAGATGGTATTTATAATGTGCCCCCAGCGTAGGGTCAACAGTTACTTTGTACTGGGTTGGGTCACAAGGCCCAATACGAGAAACTTACAGGGCTTACATGGCGTAGGAAATACCAGCACGTGGTCTTCTCCCTGGGTCAACTTCCCCGCGACCTTCGGGAGATGGGTAGTTGTCTAATGACGTGTCCTCACGTGGGGGGCACGTGGAGACCGTGGGGGAGACGTGTGAGATCTCCATGCAGGCATTGGAGGATTGGGCCTTCAATGGGCCCTTCCCGATAGGGAGCTGGGTTGGGTCGTACCCGACGGTGGATCAGCCTCTGGTCCAGCCTAGAACAGGAGCCCCCAAGTCGTTGCTCTGAAGCAGATGAGTAATGACTTAGGAGTCAGTTCGTGCATTGAGGATCTGCCCAGAGGGGAAACGTGCATATCCGAAACCCTAGACTCGGAGACAAGCGTGTGGCCAAGATAAGTAACTTGCTCGCTCGGACAAGGGCTCATGGTGAGGTTTGTCTGTCAGACGCAATCCTGGATATTTTCTTCCTTCTCCCCTGGATATGTCCTTGTTGGAAGTTCTGGTCGGCTGTGTGACGAAGATGGAAAAGAATGGGCACACCTGGTCCTCGAGCATGAGGGGGAGTTTAGAGGACATGTGTGGCGTCTTCTAAAGCCACGTGTCACGAGTAATAAATGCCTAAGGCGGCTAGGTGTAGGGGAATTCGAGTGCCTAGTGACGCCTTGCTTTCCGTGCTAGGATTATAAATATAGGGAAAGTCTCCTTCATTTTCATTTCCCCTTCATTTCAGTTAGAATTTCTTTCAAGTCTCTCCAAGCTCTCTCTGCTCCCCAGGCTGCGTCTACCGTCACCATCGCTGTCAGACTTTCTTCGTCGCTCAGATCTTCTTCCTTCAAGTAAGTTTATGTTTCCTTTTCTAGCTTTTTATGGATTTTCTGATGACTTCTCCGGGGATCTTGTAGGGTTACGGAGAAAGCATGAGTTTTTTGGGAACTTCCATGAAGTTTCCGGCAGGGCTATGAATTTTTCGGTCAAGATGTCGGGAAGTTCATGAGGATTCTGGAAGCTTTATGAAGTTTCTGGTGAAGCCCTTGAGGACCTGTGGTGAAGGTCTCGGGGAGCCTTGCTGTAACACCCCAAATTTATTGGAATATTTATTTAATTTATTTAAATAAGAATATCTGTATTTTGGTAATTTTCGGTGGTTTGTGTGAAATATTGAGATTATGAATTTTGAGTTATTTATTTAT